GCTGATGACTTTGTTGTTGTGAATCGATAATCGATTAATTATATTTAAGTAGTTTCTTTCCCGTACGCAATGCGAGATCCCGCGTGTGCCCAAAATAGCCCAGAAATCATGTCTATACTCAACAAAATGGGTAATAGAGAGCGAAAATTCGAGCGTATTCGATCGTAAGTGTATTCTTCTTCCTGCCCGAAATAGCCCGAAATTTTATCCGAGTAAAAATGGATAAAGTGTCAAAGTGCATATCAGCTGTATTGTATTTACATGTTGCCTGCATTTACTTGGTGCTTTTAAGGAAAAGTGAATGGCCTGTTGATGTATTTTCAATCTATGTACTTAAAATCAAATTTGTGAAACCAAAATTCAATTTCCAAGTGTTTGCATTTAATACCTTGTTCTGACCGACAACCAAAACATTTTTCCTTCATTTTCTTTTCATTTACAACCTTTAACTTTCATTCTTATTTTGCTTTGGCCAGGCAATTAACAATAAATCCGAAATGGCGTATTAAAGATGATAAAATATGACTTCCACTTCGATAAATAATCGAAAAAAAAAGTTTTAGCAACGAAAACATATTTCCGATGTCGGTCAGAACATGGTATAAGTGACAAAAATAAGAACAACGTGAATCAGCTGTTTCTCGACTTGTGGGCACGAAATGTGGGTTTTTGCGTTTCCGTACTTCTGAACTTTGTTCCATTTTTGAAAGAAAATGTTTCTCTTATTCTCTAATTACCAAATCCGGTCCGGAAACCGAAACACTTGGCAAAACGGAAACCCAAACCGGAACGTTATTTTGAATCGGTTTCATTCCTTGGTTGTATTTGTCGTGAAGTTACATTATTTAACGACAGTAGTTAAAATTTTGTGGTTGTTTCGCATCTCTATAATTGTTACAGAATTTTTACAGAAATGTCGTAAAATACTGGGCCATTTTTATAGAAGTAAATCAGCCAGTAGATATTTGTAATTGGAATTGTTACATTTACCAACACATAAATTAATACAAGATAATCCAACTAGATGGAATAGTTCCTTTACCATTATGGAAAGGCTCTTAGAGCAAAAACTAGCGATTAATATATTCGCTGTTCGTACTTAAAAATAGTATTTTCATAAAAAAATTCATTACGCATGTATTTGACTATTCATATGTATCGGAGTATGTATCCACCCGACGAAAAACGTATGTTAGCGGATGCTACGAGTTTTATAATAGTTGCTTTACCTTCAAGCTCGCCTCACCTAAGAGTCTCGCATTTCAAACGGAAGTTTGTATTTTTGCTTTTCTATCCATTGAAGGCATCGATAATGTATTTGTTTTATAATTTTTCACTAACCTTTCTCGGACAAAATATTGGAAAAAATATATAGAAGGAGGCATGCTTTAATAAAAATTTTGTAAGAATATTTCAAAACATTAAAAGTAAGTAAAAGTAATTTGAACATAAATACTAAACACTAAACAATTAATCAAATTGAATATTTTAAGGAACCATGTAATAATTCAGAGTAAGTATTGAAATTCCTTTGCAGGATAAATATATTAAACTAAAAACAAGTAAGAAAGTCTAAGTTCGGGCGGAGCCGAACATTAAATACCCGGCGCAAGTATTAAATATATGTTTTCCACCTTTCCGAAAGCTACCGCTACATGATAAGCCGGG